ATTAACCACGAGCTTGTATGTTTTAGTAAACGGCCTCATTTGGAGTCTGACACAGCCTTTTCATTAGGCAAACACACTGCACTCTGGTCTATTCAGCCATGCTAATGTGGTTTATAATGTTAGGTATGTTTATGAAATGGTTGTGACTCAGACTAACAACTGATTCTTTATTCCTTGAGCAGATTTTTAAATTTCTTTTTAAAAAAAATTCACCAATTTAAGAAAATGAGTCTACCCATCACTTTTGCCTCTTCTTCATGAGGATATTACAGAGCAAGCAAGCAGCTTAGTACCTATAATTATTTACTAATTGCTACTGAAATGACTAAGGCTGCATCTATACAACTCCAAGGCACCAGAGTAATCCCATAAAAACTTGTGTCGGATCACTCGGTGTCCAACAGACACACTAGTCACAGCCGACTGGGTAGACCAGATGTTCTGACATCATGGAGCCCAAGCTTTTGAGCCTTTTTTTCTTTTGAGAGCTCTCTGCCTTTGGTAGTGACGTGGGTAGCAAACAGCCTGGGGCTTTGGATGATATTTTTCTTTTTCTACTCCTTTAACTGAATTATACATTCTTGAATTCTAGTCTTCAGTTAAGGAGAGTTTTTTGTGTGGGGAGGAAAGAAGAAGAGTCATGACATTTCTGAACATGTGCTGTGTTCTCCTATAGGTCAGAGTGGCTTCCTATTTCACAGTAATTCCTAGGAGGGCTTACAGTTGCCCCGCCTAAGTGGCAAGATGGGATTTTCTTCCTTTATTAGCCACTTCTACCTTCAGCTCATGTGGGAGCTGACAAATGACAAAGAGTGAAAATCCAAACCTCTGTCAGCCCAGCAACACACTGAAGCCCTGCTGGAGTCCCTTCCTTCCTGGCAGATTCCTCACTTGAAGAACATGAAGCACCTGGCCTAAGGTCTCGGACACTGCCCCGCTCTAGGATGGGCAGGCAGGCGGGGGTGTGAGAGGCAGGACACCAGCAAGAGACGAGAGGAGAAAACTCCCAAATGCCCATTTGAAGCAGACGCTATGTGGACGGAAAGATGGCTGTGGCTGGAACAAAACTCCATTTACTCGCACAGCGATGGTGAACAGAGACTTCTCTCTGCGATGGGCTGGGTCCACCAAAAGGCATAACAAGTTGTCACATGTGCTGAATGCAAAGCAAGTGTCAATATCTTCCCTGAAGAGGGCCTCTGAGAGGCAGGGTGGCTTAGTGGTTAAAGCAAGGACGCTGGAGCCATGCTGCCAAGGCTGGGATCGCAGCATCTCCACCCCCCAGCTGCATACTCTTGGTCACACTGCCTGGCCTCTGTTCTCAGGTTTCCCTGTATCAATATGGGATAACAATGGCACCTGCCTCATGGGGTTCTCCTGGGAGTTAAATTATAATTATTTTAATATGGTAAAGCACTTGGAAGAGCTCCTAGTAAGTGCCCAATCAGTGATAGCTATTATTACTAGAGTTGGTAAAATCCAAAAAATTACATTAGTGTCCCAAAGATTAAGGCTCCACCATCCTAGAGAGCTCCCTTCAGTGGATAGCTGAAGCAGACACTGCCGGCTGCCTTCCCAAATCCACTCACCGCTACCCCCTTCTCCTTTCTAACAAAACCCTCCACTTTCCGTTTTGTTCAGACATCTGCCCTCCTTGGTGGCCATGTGCCTCATGGGAGGAAACCCAGCTGCCGCATCAGAGGTTAATCAGGGTTGACCCAGGCTCCTCACAGTGACCAGCTTCATGGGCAGTGATTGGTTTGGGTGAAGAGTGTTAATTCTGGGCTGTCAGACATGAGGAGAAGCTTTCCTTTGTTTTTTAAAGAGCCATATTGGAATAAATAGCACATTGGAAAAAATTTGACAAAGTATCTACATGTTACGCCTGGTATGGTGGCAACCTCCTGGTGACCGGAAGGAGTGATGGCTTAGTCAACCCTGGACCCACACTCCCTCCTGACTTCTTAGGGGAGATAAGAAGCTCCTTATTGCCCACGCTGGCTAAGTTGGGGTCTTCTGGTTCTCACAGGGGAGAACAACCAAATGCCTCTGTGGCCGAAGGCATGCCACCTGGTGACAGGTAAAGCCTGCCACAGGAAAGGTTTAGTAGTGTTTGGCAAGAAGAACCAGCTTCACTAATCAGTGGAGGAAGGGACTAACGTTTATTGAGCATCTACTGTATACCAGGGGCTTCGCTTATATTATTTCCATTCATTCTTGTTACTACACTGAAAGGTAGGTTTTGTTGTCTCCACTTTAGAGATGGAACTCAGAACAGTGAGGAACCTGTCCAGGGCACCCACCCCCACCCTAGAAAGCTGGAGAGGCTGGATTTCAGTCCAGGTGTGACTGATTCTCAACAAATCCCTCCACCTCCTGGGAGACTCTGGGAGCAAAGAACCTGAAGACCAGAGAACTGAAGAGCCAGGCCAGGAGATGCCCAGTCAAAGGCGCGGAAGAGGCAATGAAAGCACAGGGTCATGTGTATGACCAAAATGAAAAGCAAGGGCTAAGACAGTGAGGGCACTCGAGGTGTGGGCAGGACTCAGAGTGGCTGCTGAGAGGAACCTCAGTGCAGAGCAACCAGACCCACAGCCAGGTGGAGCCTGAAGAGGGCACACTGAGAACCAGCCCTGGGCTTCCAGAGCTTGCTACTCCCCCAAACGCCAGGCCCCCTGGGAACAGACAGCACCCCTTCCCACGAAGCCATGGAGCAATGACCACCAAAGACAGAGGTGGGACCTGGGGACCATCCAGTCTGGCCTTGTCCCTTGACTGATGGAGAAAATGAGACTCAGAGAGCCCAAGGGTTCAACTGGATAGTAAGCATAAACGTGGACACATGTTGGAGGGCCTGAGTGCCCACGAAGAAGGGAGAGGCTGAGAGACCAGCCATCAGACCAAGCTCACTGCAGAAGAAGACAGTGAGAAAGGGTGAGCACTGAGGTTCAGTCAGTTTGGGGTTCCAACTGCTAATTGGTTGCTGGTTTAGGAAGGCTAGTCCACACATACACTAGCGAAGTCTGGCTCCAAAGATTCAGAGACATTTGCATGCATTTTTGACTCAAATAAGCCACGTGGACTTATATTTAAAACAAAATACTTAGCATTTTTTCATTCCCGAACTGTAACCATCACCCAGCAATGACAACATGTGTATGCAGAGTTCTACACATGTATAGCAGCATGTATTCCTGTGGTAACTCCCAGGTATTCTTCTCGGTCTCCAACTGGTGTGCTGCCATGAACAGGATCAAGGCTCCCTGGAAGCATGCTACTGCACACAGCAGACAGAAAGGAGCATATTTGGCTTGTTCTCTTTGTTTGCAGGGAAGGAAGGGATGAGATTCGTTTGTGTCCCTACCTATACTCCACAGGACGCTGCAGTAATCAGCATAACAGCTGGCATTTCTAAAGTGGCTGTTTTTAAGCCACACAACAGCATTGCAGGTGGGTGCTGTTATCCCCACTGACAGAGGAAGAAACCCGACGACAAGGACTTGCCTAGGGCCACCTGGCTGACAAATGGCAGAGCCCCAAGATGGAAACCCATGTCTGACTGGGTCCTGAGGTCAGTCTTGTCCACTCCACCTCCCTGCCCAGGGCTGGGGTCATAGGTAGACTTTGGGCTGCAGAACACCTGGCAGAGGATACCCTGCGCTGCCCTGGGATTTGGCATTACCTCAGCCATTTACCTTCCTCTGTGTGTCCTCACGGGAAGTGGCATGAAAACTGCACTGGTTTAAACTCACTCTTAGTAGGAAGGTTTCTGTGGGGACAAGGCTGGGATAAAAAGGGACACATTGAAAGGCTTGGTAGTGACGGAGTTCCTTTGGAAATTTGCTCATCACAGCCCTCTTTTTGGTAGGTCACAGTACTGGCTCATGTCCACACCCTCCACACTGACCGCAGTGTTGTAGTTTAATCCATAACGACATTTATGCTGCTACGATGACTGTCATAAACAGCGGACTTTCGCAGGAGGATTTTATTTTGTTTTTAATTATTATGGGTACATAGCAGTTGTACCAGGAGTATTTTGTGATTGACACAAGTTTATGAAGAGATAAATAAAAGACATCATAAATAATATCAATCATATTATTAATACGTATTTCTTACAGAATAACAAATGGGCCACAAAAGAGAAGCAGATAATTATACCAACGTTCTCACTGATATCAACTATAGTGAAACAGGTTTTTAGGAACACATAATGCTAAAAAATTATCATATTAAGATGAATTTTCTGGTGTTAATGATATCAGCCAGGGAAATTGAGACAAACATTTTGTGGATCTCTGGCTATATTTGATTTTGAAATGTATGAAAGTCTCAGAAGAGTTCAAAAAAGAAAGAAAATTTGTCACATTTCAAACCAACATATTGAATCAAATAAATTAAACCCTGATTCTCAAACTGCTCATGTAACTGACAGGCTCAAATGCATTTTAAAAAGTAGTCCGATTCCAACCCCTGAATGACATTATCATCTCCTCCCCTCCTTAACCATAATCAGCAAATCGGAACAAAGCTATATGCTCTTTTTATGAAGACATGTGGTAGCTTTTGTGGCTATATTACTCAATACTTAAACATACATCATTTTGAGTTTGACTGGTTTTTTTTACCATGCTGCTCTTGATTGGCATTTACTGCTACAAAGCAGTCGTTTTCTCTTTCTAAAGGAAAACCTGCTCAGTGTCAGACAAAGACAGGAGAGGCAGCCCTACTAATAATGATCTAAAGTTAATACAAAAGTAATTAATATTCCAGGGCTTCTGCTGGTGTCATTTATCAAAAGAGATGCCATCCAAGGCAGTCGGAGCAGCCCGAACATGAGCTTTCACACTGGCTTGTTATCGGAAGATCTCTTTAGTCAGACGACTTTGACACGAGCACTCAGATGACACGGTGGCTCGTTTTGTATTATCCATGTCTGATAACAATAACTGTTGACAAAGGGTGGGGGGAAAATCATTTTTAAAAATCTCCATTACCTTTTCTCCCATTTGGAGTTCAAGTTCTTTTACTGTACGGCAGCAATTAATTTCATTCCCACCTCCCCTTAAAAATAAAAAAATATTCTTTGTTAAAATGTTTTAACCAAATTAATGTTTACATAAGACATACAGAGATCAAAATTGCAAGCATTTCTAAATAATCTATTTTAAAATGCAAGGTATCTCTTAGGTGCTTCTATCTGCCAGAAGTGTGAACTTGGGCAAATTACTTAGTTTCTCCATGTCTTAGTTTCCTCATCTGTAAAATGAAATATAACAGCATTTACTCCTCCTAGGGGAGTGTGGGGATTGAGTAATTACAGCTGATACTTAATGAGCACTTACTATGCACCAAGCCTTAACAGGCCTGGTCTCATGAAACCTCCCAGCAGCTCTATGGGTTAAGTACCTTATCATCCTCACTTCATAGACAAGCAGGCTGAGGTCTTTATAGATGAGGAGGATGAAGGTGACATGTGAGAAGTGGGGGTGCCGGGGTCAGACCCAGGTGATCTGGCTTCAGACCCAGCTCCCAAACCCTCATGAATGGCTTAGTGCCTTCCTCAGGTCCTCATGGGAATGGATGAGTTCTCACTGAATTAGTTCCTGCTAGAACTGACAGTTGAAAAGAACCTGGCACCTCCCTCCGCTCTGTCTCTTCCTCCCTGTCCTGCCCTGTGATCTTGCCAGCTCCTCATCGCCTTCTGCCACGAGTAAAAGCAGCCTGAGGCCCTGGCCAGAAGCAGATGCTGGTTCCACACTTCTTGCACAGCCTGCAGAACCATGAGCCAAATAAAACTCTTTTTTAAATAAATTACTCAGCCTCAGGTATTTCCTTTACAGCAATGCAAACGGACCAAGACACCAATTCTTACACACTCAGAGGCATAGACTTTTTAAACAGCATCCTAGGTCATACAATTTTAATTTTCATGTTGCTTCCAATGTAATCAACCACCATTGGATAGTCAGGAACCTCCTCAATATGGTGATTTTTATACATGACCAGTTCTGGTAAGGCTAAGGTAGCCAGGCAGAAGAGATGGCATACCACTTCTGTGTGTTCACCCTGTGTTATTAATGGCATTAAGTTTTTGGCTGGTATAAAATGTGACCTCCCCAAATAATTTCAGAAGGGAAGTGCTGTCACCAGAATATTAAGTCTCACCACCACATACTCAGGGAATTTGAGCTACACCTCTGTCAGTGTCCCAAAATTCAGCCCCAGTCTAATGACCTGACAATTCAATGACCGCAGAGGCTGCCTCTTGTTTTTATATATGTTGATACGAAGAAATTATACAAGATCTGGTCGAAAAAGATCTGGTGTGAACACAGGAGGCAAAGGTGCTAGATGTTTCTACCTTTTCCAAGTACTCTGACATCAGTAGATGAGCATATACTATGGCAAGATGAGGAGAGGGTCCCAGGGCTTCCCACAGAAGAAGCTTACTCTTATTCTTACAAATATAGTATAGAGTTCTGGGATGGCAAATATTTTATTTCAGCACATTGAATATATTCTTTATCTTATAGCTTTCACTGTCACTGTGGAGAAGTCAGTGTCTAATTATCACTCCTCTGAAGTCAATTCAGTTTTTTTCTCATTGCCTTTAATATTTTCTCTTTGATTTTGATGTTCTGCAGTTTTACTGTGAAATGTCTAAATAGGCATTTCTTTTTATTTGGCTTAAGATTCTCAGCTATTATCTTTTCAAATACTATTTCTGCCCTCTTCTTTCTCTTATATTGCTATGGTTTGAATGTACCCCTCCAAAATTCAGTGTTGCCAATGTGATAATATTAACAAGCCTTTAAGAGGTGATTGGGTCATAGGGTTCCTCCCTCTTGAACAACATTAGGTGCCCTTAGAAAGGGGGTTGAAGGAGGGAGTCCACCCTCTCTTGTCCTTCCCCCATGTGAGGACACAGTAAAAAGGTCCTTACCAGATGCCAACACCTTGGTCTTGGACTTCTCAGCCTCAAGAACTGTGAGAAATAAATTTCTGTTCTTAAACATTATAGTACCCAGTCTCAGGTACTCTGTTACAGCAACACAGAATGGACTAAGACAGCTATCTTTCTGGAAATCCAACTAGAAGTATATTAGGCCTCCTCTTCCTGTCTTCCGTGTCTCTTATATCTGTCCTCCATATTTTGTATCTCTTTTTGTTTCTGTGTTGCATTATGGATAATTTCTTCAGCTCTGTCTTCTACTCCACAAATGCCCTTTTCAGCTATGTTTAATCCAATTATTTTCACCCATCCACTGAATTTTATATATATTTTTCTTGGTACCAGCAGTTCTATTTTGTACTTCTTCAAATCTTCACTTACCTATTCTTTCATTTCTTTAAACATATTAAAATACATGACATATCTGATGACATTTAGATGACATATCTGATAGTTCCAATATTTCAAGTGTTTGGAGATATAATTTTATTTGGTTTTATATGTACTGGTTTGCAGTCCTCATTTTTTGTCTCTTCATATGTTTTTAAGATTTTTGGTGTGATCTGATGTTACTTGGCACTTCATCTGCGGAATTCTTTCAGGAATAGGTTGAAGATACATTATTCCACAGAAGGGCACACCCAGTCCAGGATTACTTTTAAGTAAGTTCCTAGCCTGAGACTTTTCAGACCACACAGGTAGCATTAATTCAGGTTCAGACCTGCATGAAAATCAACCTGTAATTAGAACTTATTCCCCCATTCACTCAACCACTAGTGTTGAAACAGGTAGGTTTCCTTGTTGTGTCCCTCTGTGATGCAGGCTCACATTTGTAATTTATCCTTACATGAGGTGTAGGTGTCCCAACTTGATATGCAATGGTCCTCTGTTAGGTTCTTCCACCTTGGGCAGGCCCCCTTGGCCCTGTCTCTTGTCTCTTTTACTCCAAATGGCCAACAAAAGTGAGCACACAAACTCACCAGGATTGGCTAATACCCTCAGGGCAAAACCTGACTTTATCAAATGCTCCCTTAATTGCATTCCAATTTTCACATTATGCTAGGCCTCTGGGGATTCCTTACTTTCCTGCTAGCTCATTAATGTATTAAAATGTATGCATATATTTTACCTTTTATCCAGCATTTTAATTGTTTTGAGTAGAAATGATGTTCATGCTATATAGCCTACCATATTACTAGAAAGCGAAGTCTCTGTTCACTATAATGCAATGTCTCCAATGATAAAGAGAATTCAGCTTCAGGAGTAAGTCAGAAATCTTTCAAATTTAGTTTATATATTTAGCCTTTTATGTTTAAGAAAGTAACTCAGGATTTTTTTTTTAGAAACGGGGTCTCACTCTGTCACCCAGGCTGGAGTGCAGTGGTGCAATCATAGCTCACTGCAGCCTCAAAATCCTGAACTCCAACAATCCCCTCCTGCCTCAGCCCCAAGCAGCTAGGACTACAGGTGTGCCCCACCACATCCAGCTAATTTTTTTTTTTTTTTTTTTGTAGACATGGGGTTTTGCTATGTTACCCAGGCTGGTCTCAAACTCCTGGCCTCAAGTGATCCCCTTGCCTCGTCCTCCCAAGGTGCTAGGATTACAGGTGTGAGCCTCCACGCCCAGCTGACCTTTTTATCTCTAATTAATTAGACTGAGGTTTCACAATGAGAGAAAAAGGCTCTCTTGTTTTCAGTTTTACCAGTTGTTTAGCTCTTCCAACAAAGAATATTCATATTAAGTTAATGTCCACCTAACAACCTTATCCCACAAAAGAGTCATGCTCTTTTAGGTCAAGGCCATGACTATGCAGCCTGTAAAACAATAGTCATTCTTTGAATGAGCCTAGAAATTATCTTAGTCCACCACTTACTGAATATTTACTAAAAAAAGCACAGAAAAGTTCCAGATCACAGATGGGATAATACTTTGTCATTCTTGGGGGAGCTGTATCACTAATTGTATTTTTTTTAATTGTGATTAAAAAACAAACACATAAAATTTACCATATTAACCATTTTTAAGTGCATAGGTCAGTAGTGTTAAGTATTAATATATTCACATTGTTGTGAAAAAGATCTCTAGAACTTTTTCATCATGCAAAATTGAAACTCTATACCCACTAAGCATCAACTCCTCCCACCCCCACCCCTTGCTACACTCATTCTTATACCTAAGCTGCATCAGTAATAGATTCAATCACAAAAGCTATAACATCAGAATTTGCTAATATTTCAGGATCAAATTTAATTCTCATATGTAATTGTTTACATAATTCCTGAGAAAATGAGGCTTATTCATTTAGAGTCAGGTAATGAGTAAATAATTTTTTTTTACTAAAACAGTATTTCCTAAATCATACACTAGAATCAAAGAACTGTTGATCGAGACATTAAAGGTCATACTCCAACCTGCTCATGTTGCTGATAAAGCAAACAAGCCCCATGCTTACGCTAAAACTACAAAATACTAGAGGAGCTCATACAAAGATCTTTTTTTTTCACTTCTAGCCACCAAAACATGATCACTTTCCAATGAGCAATGTTAAAAATGTATAAAAACCAACCAATTTTAAATTTGGCATCTTAATAATTTAAAGATCAAAATCCATTATTTCCAAATTTAAATACATTACATGTAAAACATATTTATCTGGCTTTAATTTGCTATGTTTACATTTTGTTACAGATTCATTTATCTTATTCTAAAGTGTATCCTATATAGATGCCAAAATATTCTCTAAATAAAATGTGAAGATTAATTCCATTAAATTCTAAATGGATAAGCTCTACCAACCCATCTTCCATATATATCTGTTGATATGATCAGCTCTAATGTCTTTAGGTCACAGTTCTTATTCATCATTTCAAATTTCACATTTTCATATGAGCAAACAAAACACTTACTTCTTTATAACATTTACATTGAGGTCAATTCCACCAAACCTGGACAGGAATTCGAGGTATGGTACAGAACCAGAGCAGGTGAGGGGGATCTACGTTCAAACAAGAAGAATGACAACACGTTAGAGAATAAGATCCAAGCAATAGACAGTGTAGCAGGTCTCTAAATCATAGCTTCCAGGATATAATGTAGAATCCTATTAAAGTGATGGGCATTCTAGTAAACATTTGCAACTGCTTACTCTAGGTGTCCGAGTTGATGTGCATTCTCAGCAAACCAAGTGTAAATGGCATCCTAGAATGCCAGTCTGCTCAATTATTAACAAAAGTCAACAAGTTATCTACTAAATTATCTGTAATCTATATATAAATCTAGCTAAATCTAAATTCTATCAAAAAATACAATAAAATTGGCAGGAATATTTTCTAATACATATTAATATTATATGTATAATATATATTGGAAGCTGAGGCCACAGCACAGTTTTACACTCTGAGCGTCATGTGAACTTTCTGTACATTCATATAGTTTTAAGGTTGAGAAAGTAATTTTTAAATTAAAAACTCTATAAATGACACTATTGGGTCAAGTGGGTCAACAGACTGTACATTAAATAAAGTATTATTTCAATGTTTAATTTACTGAAGTTGGTAACTGTGCTGTGATTATGTAAAAGAATGGTTCTTATTTTTAGGAAATATACACTGAGGTATTTAGGGGTAAAGAACCACGATACAAGCAACTTCCTTTCAAGTGCTTTTCTTTTTAAATATTATATGCACATTGTTTGTGTGTGTGTTTGCATACACATATACATACGCTCTCTCACACACATACAGATAATGAGAGATCACAGGAGAAGCAAACAAGGTAAAATGTTCACCATAGATAAATCTGAGTAAAAGAGTATATGGGTATTATTTGTACCAAATGGGTACTATTTATACTATTCTTATTCTTGCAAAGTTTTTGGAGGTTTGCATTTATTTTTAAATAAAAAGTTAAATTTTTTAAAATCAAAATAATTATTTCAAAAAAATATTATGAATCTAAAATTGAAATAAACATGAAATAAATATATACTCATTATAAAATATTTCATTAGACTTCATGCAAATACACAAACTACAATTTCCCATACAGTTGAATAGCTCCCAAGTCTACACAATCAAGTTTGTTATTTATTTAGCCCTAAAAATGCTAGCCTTAAAGCCAAGTGTGGTTCTCTCAGTCTCCCCCAAAGGATAAATTTCTCTTTACTGTTTAAAACATATATAATTAGGAAATGAGACCAGAGGAAGAGTGGCTCAGGGCTCATAGGGTGGGCCTCTGTAGAAGCCTTTTCCTGGAAAGGACACCCATGACTTCTATGTCTTTCTTTCTTTTTTTTTTTTTTTGAGATAGAGTCTCATTCTGTTGCCCTGGCTAAAGTGCAATGGCATGATCATAGCTCACTGCAACCTCAGACTCCTAGGCTCAACCAATCCTCCTGCCTCAGCCTCCCAAAGTGCTAGGATTACAGGCGTGAGCCACCGCACCCAGCCTTCCATTTCTGACAGTACATTTTTTTAGTAGATATAATTTTGGGTAAACATGTCAAAGTTTCCCTAAGGTTGCAGAAAAAGGGCATTGAGTAGTTCAAGACTGGGTGCCCTCAGGGTTTTGGTAATGATAAGAGTAAATGAAGAAGGGAAGAAACTTACATCTACAGAGCTCATAATAAATGGGCACAGGACTACTCTAAGTGTTTTACATGAGCAGTCCCAAAATTACCTTAGCGGGTGGTGTCATTTTCTACATTTCACAGAGTGGAGGTCTGACCTTCCTGCATGGCACTGCCATTAAGTGCCAGAAATCTCTGTGAATCCAGAGCACGAGTTCATCCCACTACACTAACCACCATGCCTATAAAGAAAAACAGTCCATCAAATGATTCAAGCTTTCATCACATTTCATATTGTTATTTACGGCTGAACACAAGTTCTAAGTGGTAGAGAAATTCTTGCAATGACTGATCTCCAAAGCTAAGCCCCTTAGACAACTAAAGAATCTCATCTAAAATGAAAGGCTCTGCTCAGTACGTGCCTTTTCGGTATTTGTGATTCTGGCAAAAATGTTTAAGAATCAAAAACATACATGGATGAATTGCTGAAAGCCAATTCTTAGACTAGAGCTGGGAGTGGGTCATTTTTAAATCAGTATTCATCACATTAATAAGTATCTTGAAAGAAGACTTTTTCTCCAACCTGGCACAACCACTGGGACCAGAACAGAACTGTGTTCCTTCTCTGGAATCTATTTACCAAGTTGACTTCTTTAAAAATAGTCTATATTAATATTCAGAGACTGACCAGGTGCAATAACTCAAGTCTGTACTCCCAGCACTTTGGGAGGCCGGACAGGAGGACCGCTTGAGGCCAGGGGTTCGAGACCAGCCTGAGCAATGTAGCAAGATCCTGTTTATACAAAAAGTAAGAAAATTAGCTGGGTTTGGTGATGCGCTCCTGCGGTCCCAGCTACTCAGAAGGCTGAGGCGGGAGGATCGCTTGAACCCAGGAGTTCAAGGTTACATTGAGCTGAGATTGTGCCACTGCATTACAGCCTGGGTGACAGAATAAGACTCTGTCTCTTAAAAAAAAAAAAAAAAAAATCAGAGACTGAGGCCACGTTTTTAAATAAACCACAAAATTCGCATTACTCTAGTACAGGGCAGATTACAAGCAAAGCCTCATTTTTCCTTCCCTGATAAATTATTAAAACACTGACATTCAAACATTTCCTGGTACAGTTCTTCAAATAAAATTAAAGCCAAAGTAAATGAAGACTACAACTGAAAAATTCTTTTCTAATTTTAAGGGGAAATTCCCATGAAATCTTTTACTAGTTTTATTAAGTGTCCAGTTAGGCTCACATTAACCACTAAAAAAGAAAGGTTGAATCACCACGTGGATTACTCATTAAGATCTAGAAAAGTCATAGACACTGTGAAATCCATGAATGGAGAAAGGAAGCCCTGCCCTTCATTCCCAATAACCTCGGCCTCCTGTAAATTCACCACACTAGAGCCTTCATGATTGACACGTGGAGCACAGGAGCTCAAGGTTCTAGAAAAACATGCTGATCATTTAAGGATAGACTACCAAGACCTGTTTTCTAAAAAGTCTTTGAAGTTCTGCAGTTCTCAGTGATTTCTTTTAAAAACAGATGTAGCTTTTAAAAACAGATACACATTTCATATTTTCTGTACTTTTCCTCTTCCTGCATAGCTGATTAGTCTGGGAGACTGTCAAAATTTTAAATTAACATTAGATCATGACTATAAGCACACATAGCAGGAAATAATATTTTAACTCTCCACTTGGTATAAAGTATCACCAGCTAGATTGAGCTTATGAGGAAACTGATGCAATGTTCACAAGGACAAATGTTCTTTAACAGCAAGAGAACATTACCATATGACATAGCAATTCCACTCCCAGGTATGTACCTAAGAGAACTGAAAACCTATGTCCACACAAAATACTTGTACATTAATTTTCATAGCAGCATTAGTCACAAAAGTCAAAGAGTGAAAACAATTCAAAGATCCATCAACTGATGAAAATGTAAGCAAAATGTGGTCTATCCATACAAGGGACTATTATTCAACCATAAAAAGGAAAGAAGTACTGATTTATGCTAACATGGGTGAACCTTGAAAACATGCTAAATGAAAGAAGCCAGACACAAAAGATCATGTATTGTATGATTCCTTTTATATGAAATGTCCAGAATCTATAGTGACAAATCTACACTGACAGAAAGTAGATTAGTGGTTTCCAGGTACCAGCAGGAGAAATGCGGAGTGACTGCTAATGAGTACAGGTTACTTTTTGGAAAGACGAAAATGGTCTTGAATTAGATAGTGATGATGATTGCAAAACTCTGTAAATATATGAAAAAACACCAATGTATACATGTTAAAAGGGTGAATTTAATATATATAAATTATATTTTGATAAGCTGTTATTAAAAATGTAGATAGCAATAAAAGGTAACGTGAAAAAATCACTATGTACTATTTATTCCCTATTCTAGAAGTGAATAAAGGGGAAACATTTTTTTAAAGGGAAGAGAAAAGCTCTTTGCCTTCTTTCCCCCTTCACTACTCCCCCAACAATTCAGTCCTAAAGCCATCAGATGGGGCAGAGAGATGTGGTGTCTGCAGTGTTGGGGGAGCCTTGGTGCGGGGATGTGGGGTGAAAATGGCATTATCGTGGGTCAGAGCCCACACGGGGGAGAGGGCACCCACATGGGGAGAAGAAAGGCTGGACTTGAGTTGGGTCACATACAGGGAGATTGAGCAAATAAGCAAATCTAAGGGTAATGGGAGCCAAGTTCCTCATTCAATGAGAAGGTAGTTACACCCATGGAAAGGGAGAAACCAGAATGATGTCTGGAATGTTGAGTTAGGATTGGTGGTATTGGTATGAACTCTTGGTTTTTAATATGAACAGAGAAATTGAGACAGAATAAATGTAGATGTAAATGTACATACACATGTGTATGAAAAAAAATGTACCCCCTAGAGCTCTGCTCGCTCAGAGGGCCTGGGGGTGGTGACCTCCCAACCACACCAGCAGCCTTAGTGCCCACATCCTGGCTTCTCAGTTATCTTCTTCCATTCAAAGGAACCAGAGCTCTTTGGAAAACAGATGATTCCAGGACCAAAGCAAGCAAAGTACAGATAAGTTTGGAATATCTTCTATCTATTTAAAGGCTCTGGAAAGTAAAGCAAAGAAATGTTCAAAGAATGATGGGGACATGTTAAAAGGATACAGAAACCAGCTTGAAGGAGTTCTTACTGGCCAAATCTGGAATAATTAAAACATCAAAATAAATAATAAACATAATAGACCCATAGCCCACTTAGTAGGCAATCTTGAATCCCTATAAATATTAATATATAAATAATAAATGAATAAATTGAAAGTTTGGTAAGTAGAATATCTTACTAGTTTCAAAGTTTCTCTCACAAAATACTTACTAATTACAAAGTGGATACTTGGTAAAGCCTGACAGAGCTCACCTTAATCAGGTGATCAAAGTAAACCTCAGCAGTGATGAGACGAGCTGAAATCATGTGCGGTCTAATCAAATGCAATGAGAAGAACACAGCACTGCTGCAGTGATGTGTCTGCCAAAGATGCAAGCCTGGATCTAGTCTTAAGGAAACATCACAAAATAACAGGTCTGCAACCTTTGCAGTGTTAAGGTCATAAAAGCCAAGTAAAGACTAATGAACCATTCTAGACTGAAGCAGACTAAAGGGATATGATAACCAAATGCAATGTATGATTCTGACCTGGGGATCCTATAAGACATTTGTGGGACAACTGGTAAAACCTGGCTGGACTCCGGAGCTGAGATGGGAATAATGAATCAATGTTAACTTCTTTATTTTGATGGTTGGGTTGTGGTTATTATAGGACAGGGTCCTTATTTAAAGGAAATATTCATTAAAATATTTAGGAGTAATGGAGCAATTTACTCTCAAATGTTTTAGAAAAAAATTGTTCTTTGCACTGTACTTACAACTTTTCTGTAACTTTGTGTTTTCTTTTAAAAATGATAAAGCAGAGAAGTGCAGAGAAAGCTCAAAAGTGGCCAGCCCTCCTGCAAAAAACAACCATAAACTCTGGTCAAATATGAGAAATAACTATTTAAAGGCTCTGGAGAGTAAATGAAAGCAGGTACATTTTGGAGGAGGGCAAAACTTAGAAGAAGGGACAGGAATGGAGGGAGTTTCCTATTCTAAATGAATTTTATCCTGAGGGTAGGCCACATGCTCAGCACAGAGCCCCATTATAAAACCCACTGTCTCTCTAGCCTAAAGGACTAGCACACAAAACCCAAAGCAACTACAGCCACTAGAAAACGTGAGGAGAATCTCACATATTCCCTCATGGGAGAGAAACAGAGGAGGAGACCCACTTCCTGGGTATAAACTCCGTTTGACTTCTAGCTGACCTCTGAATATGCACGTGCAGGTCAGACTCAAAGAGGCCCAGGTAAAGACAAAAGAACTGAACTGAGATATGAGCTACTGCACACTGCAAGTGAGACAGTGTTTGCAAGTTAATTGCCTGTCAAAACAAAAGCATCAACAGTCTTCAGAGGAATATAACAGAATCCACAGTCCCCACAATACACTATCTGCAATGTTTAGTACTGCACTGTCTAATAAACAGCCAAAGCCTCATGTGGCTATTGAGCACTTGAAATGTGGCTAATACAACTTATTAACTGAAATTTTTTTTGCTTTATTTGATGTTAATTAATTTTAATTTGATTTAATTAATTTAGTTTAATTTAATTAATTTAAAAATAATATTGATTCAGCTATTGGAAAACTTTTAAGTACGTTTGGAACAGATGAGTATGTAATGTAGTATTTCAACTACAAATTTTATGAAATCTAAATATAAATCAAGGCAGGGCGCGGTGGCTCACACCTGTAATCCTAGCTCTCTGGGAGGCCGAGACGGGCGGATTGTTTGAGCTCAGGAGTTCGAAACCAGCCTGAGCAAGAGCGAGACCCCGTCTCTACTAAAATTAGAAAGAAGTTAATCGGACAACTAAAAATACAGAGAAAAAATTAGCCGGGCATGGTGGCGCATGCCTGTAGTCCCAGCTACCTGGGAGGCTGAGGCAGGAGGATCGCTTGAGCCCAGGAGTTTGAGGTTGCTGTGAGCTAGAATGACGCCACGGCACTCTAGCCCGGGCAACACAGGGAGACTCTGTCTCAAATAAATAAATAAATAAATAAATATAAATCAAGTATTTCCAGTAAAAATTTAGTGTCTGAACTGAAGTCTGCTGTAAGTGTAAAATACATAACAGGTTTGAAGATTTAGTACACAGAAAAGAATGTAAAATATCTTATTAATGATTTTAACAGTGATTACATATTGAAATGAGATAATATTTTGGATTATTGGGTTAAATAAATATATTAAAATTAAGTTCACCTATTTTTTACTTTTTAATGTGGCTACTAGAAAATGTTACATATGTGGTTCACATGATATTTCTGTTGGTCTGAGATATTATCCAAACATACTCAAATGTGAATAACCAGGGAAATAAGACCAGTGGAAAAGACAATCAATACTGGCAACTTTGAGATGACCATCATGCTAGAATTACTAGACCAGGACTGTAAAGCAGCTATTTTAATTATGTTCAATGAGTTAAAAGAAATATGCTCATAACTGAAGGAAGAACCAGGAAATCAAAGCAGGTAAATAGAAATTATAAAAAGGAACCAAATGGAAATTCTAGAACTGTCATAAACAATGTCTAAAATAAAAAATTCACTGAATGGGCTCAATAGAAGAATGGAGATGATAAGAAAGAGTCAGGGAACTTAAAGTAGATCCATAAATATTATCTACTCTGAATAATAGAAAAAAAGATTTTTAAAAATGAACGGGGCCTCAGGGACAGTCGGACAATATAAAAATGGAGAGAATGGGGCAGAAAAAATATTTGAGGAAATAATAAGCTGAAAACTTGCCAAATTCAAAGAAAGACAAAGGGAAGAGAAAACCTTGGAATAGCAACATGGTATGCACAAGAAGCAACAACAAATAGAACTGTACGTTAAAAACAAAACAAAACAAAAACAAAAAACAAAAACAGTGAAAGAAATGAGAGTCAGTACCTGAGGTTAAGACTGGAATTTAGGAATGCCTAGAATTCACTCAGATACTTGTTTTCATGATACATAATTCCCCCATGTTGAAAGTAGGCACAGTGAGTTGGTTAAGGTATATAGCAAATTCTGAAAAAGGCTTTTAAATTCTATTAAATAGCACAAAGCCAGATTCTGATTAAGAACTAATGAATAAGTAAAATATATGGACTTGTCTGTGTGTGTGCATGCGTGAGTGTGTGTGCATTTGTGTGTGTACAAATCCAGTTATTGGGTTGAAAGGAATACTAATGATATTCCAGCACAATTTTTCTACTCTTGTAATTACTATATTGATCATTATAGGCTTATTTTGAGATTGTTTGATTTGTACTGCATTTTGTATTCCTTTTTTAAGGGCCCTGAGGGCACAGATCACAAAGTTTTACTCCTTATGTCCCCCTGGTATGGTATACCACTAGGTGGCCCAAGGGCCTTCGCCCTATACATCCCATCCTAAGTAACTGCACCAACCCCTGCTGGGCACCCTTCACTGGCTCCCTAGAGCTTCCAGGACAAAGTGCTTTACAAAGTACTTTCCCGACTGGCTCCCCCAGCCATATCCCTTCACGGCAGATATGAATGACTCTGCCCAGTCCCCTGAATAAGCATGGCAGGCTGATGCAGGCCCCCAAGCTTTCACGTAGGCTGTCCCTCAGCCTGTGATGGCCTTTCCTTCCTCTCTCATCTGGCTAATACCCACCCCTCAGTTAAAACTATGTAAATACCTCCTCCACCAAAAAGCCTTCCTGGACTACCACCTGAGAATTTCAGAAATTCTCCCTCTCCCTCTCCTAACTCTCAAACCACCCTGTAATGATCCCTGTCCCAGCACTTGCCAACACTCCATCAATACCATGCTGGGCCGGGAGCTGCTCAAGGGCACCCCTAGTGTCTAGCACAGGGTCCAGCATATAGTAGATACTCAATAACCATTTAATGCAAGAACAAATGCCAACATACTAAGTTCCAAAATATAAGTTGACCAAATACATTTATGTGAAACCTTAAAAAAAAACTAAAATAAATTGGATGCAGCAGCACTATGTGCAAAATATAACCAAATAATCATTGATTGTGATCATTTAAATTGGCCTTAATTAAGTGAATCGTGGAAAACAAGCAAGACTTCAACTGTTCATTTGCTACAGTGAGGGATAAAGCCAGAATAGGTGACATACTCCTCTGATCTGCTTCAGCTTTTCTCGAATTGAATTATTCTAAGTATTTACAACATACCATACCTGAGCCAACACGTCTTGAAACTGTTCTTTTGTGAGAGGCATCAGGAAGGTTGCAATAGTTCTTCGCAGTTCATTTTTTGACACTGTCAAGTTCTGACCAGGATCAAGAAGCTGAAAGGCTTTTTTCAACTCATCTCCTTTATCAGTAATTTTTTGAAATAAAATCCGTTTAACATCTAAGAAGGACAGTATTGGATTTGCAACAGCTGTGGCTAGAAAAGAGATAGAGCTATTTATTAAACAAATTTAAAGCTAAGATACTAAACAAAAACTGTTCCATTGTTTAATAGAATCAGATAAACTTCTAAAACAGTATTTCTTCTACTATATCTAAGTTTACATGTCTAATCATTAGATAACCTGAAATGAAAAACCTGAAATTTAATCAATATAGAATAACAGTAATGACATCAGGGAGAAGAAAAACAAGGCAAAAATAATCTTCCCTACAGAAGACACAGGTCACCACACTGACATACATGGATACTGGAAGAAAATTTAGGTAAGAATTAATATCATTCAAACAAATCTTTAAGATATCATATTTAATTTTCATCTCCTTGCATCTCCTTTCATCTCCTTGCCAATTTTTGAGGGAAAAACATGTAATTCTTAAATCCAGATAATGCCCCTTTCAAAGACAAGGAAGAGATGAGAATAGTCTAGACACTAAAGGGTAAAAAGGAATGTTTAGAGTGGGCTAAATAAGCTTTTGGGGGTTGAACTTCCTAGGAGGAAAGGAATAGTGTCTTGACTCATGTTTTAGGTCCCAGGCCCCCCCAGTCACCAAAGGAGAGGAGATACACACAGGCCTCCCTCCTCTCTATCCAAGATGAAAACCACTGTAGGGACAACAGGCAGGAAATAACCTAAGTAAATATGGTAACTACAAACCAACTCATGCTACCACTCAGGATCATACATGTGATGATGTGATCGATCACTTCGACGTTGCATAACCGGCTAGGAAAAGAGGACACTAGGAATAATGGTAGTTTGGTAAATCTCTCATATTTATTTATGTGATTGCAAGGGCTTGGTAACCATAGTTTACTTAGCAGCTCTTTCTTACACAGGAAATTCTGGATATATGTTAAATGGCTTTAACATTGCCTCACCTTTTATGGTACTATTCACAAACAGTAGCTAGAGAGGGATGACTGTAGTTCCTTCCCTACGAATGAGAATTTCTTACCAAGCTATTGCACATTTCCAGCAGGACGGTGACAGCCTTGGTCTTGGGGTGACCTGGGCTGATGAGAGACTCAAGGGCCAGGACCTCAATGTGCCAACTTGAACCCACGCAGAGGGCAGTCAGGGATTTCTTCACAGCTGTGGGATGCCCTGAGCTCTCTTCTGCTTGAGGTGGCACAAGAGAGAACGTGCCAGCGCCCCTACCGTCATGCTGCTATGGAGACCTGCCACAGGCCCTAAGCTCACAAGCAGCAAAGTGGCAGGTCCTGGAACTTCATTTTCGGCCAGGGGCTGTGCTGGCTGTCACCAATTCTTGCCTCTCCTGACACCCACGGAGGACCAAGAACACACAGGTTTGTGCCAGGGGCTGGTGATGCCTCCTGGAGGGAGTTGAGGGTATGTAACTGGGACATAGCAATGAGGTGTGGGGACAGGCATTCAGCGTCCGCATGGAGCGCTGGAGACCTAGAGTAGAGGCTGGTTGGTTTGGGGTGACAGGATGGAAGGTCTCAGGAAACGCTGCTCAGTGGAAAGCAACGTGGTGTTCTGAGGGCCAGGCGCAGAGCTGGGGAAGAGGGGTGCTTGGGGGAGTGCTGTGGAGCTCAGCCAGCCGGGCAAGGGGAAGAGGAGGGGAGGAGCACAGGGAGGTGCAGGCCAAGAGATGGGGCGGGAAAAGTCAGCAGGAGCCCAGTCGCAATGGTCCTGTCCTTGGGCTTTGTGCTCTCGTTATGCGACTCCACATGGGGTTTTCACCAAGAGAACATAACCCAATTTTCATCCTTACCCCTCCCCTGCTATCGGTGGACGAACAGCAGAAAGGAAAGGAGAGTGACGGGATGGAGACACATCGGGTAATCACAGCTGCCCAGGCAAGCATTCACAGGGGTCTATGCTAATGTGTTGGTCACAGAGTGAAAAACAGGGGTGAGTAAAATAAAGGTCAAGAAGGTGGAGTCTACAGACTCCTCCGAGGCCAGGTGGGGGAGGGAAAGAGGATGCAGTGTCCGTATCTGGCAGGCGGCTGGGCAGGTGGCAGCACCCATCACTGAGAAAGGGAAAAGAGAAGATGCAGCAGATGGTATTTTCCAAGACAGCCACAGCAAGATCTCCCAGCACAATGTCATGTCAATGCTCCTGCCCCCAAAAGTGGGCATATGTTCCCTGCCTTGAATCTGGGTGGGCCCATGACTACCACGGACTGGACATGTGTCAATATGACACATGACATATGTGATTCCAAAACTGACTATGTGGTCTCCAACATGATGTCACGCAAGGTGTTGCAGCTTCTGCCTGGTCCTCTCTAGATGCTCACACCCAGTCACCACTTGGCTGTGAGGAAGCCAAGAAGACACACAGAGAGGCCACATGTAAGAGTTCTGGGTGACAGCCCCAGCCAAGGTTCCAGCGAACAGCCAGCATCAACTGCCGGCCATTGGAGTAATCCAGTCCTCTGTAGAGGACTCCAGCCCCTATCGTGAAGTCAGCCCAGCCTCTGCACCTTCCCAGCTGAACTGCATGGAGCAGAGAAAAGCTGTCCCTGAGACCTACCCTAATTGCACATCTATGAGCAAAATAAATGATTGTTGCTATTTTGAGCCACTACATTTGGGATTGTTTGTACACTGCAATAGATACCTGGAGCAGAAAAGAAAAAAGTTTATGGGAAAGCTAATGAGTTTAGTTTGGGATGTCCGAGCAGGATGTCCACTTGAAAGCCGAATACATAATCTGGAGATCTGAGAGCTGGTGGTGGAGATGCCAGTGTGGGAACCAACAGCATGGAGCCCTGGGGAAGCATGCTCAGTGGGAAGAGAAGAAGGCAGCCTGCAAAACACTGGCTTTTAAGGAAGTGGAATTCATTCATTCAAAAAATATTGACTGAGCACCTATCATATGTCAACCACTGTTCTTAGCCCCGAGGGTACTGCAGTGAATAAGACAGTTACAACTTACAACCTGGAGGTGAGAAGACAGACAAGAAACGAATAATAAATAAATTATAAAGCATGGTACAGAGAGAGTGACAAGCGCAGCGAAGATGGAAAGACAGAACAATGAGGTATTGTGTGGCCAGGGGAGCTATTTCAGAGGGGTGGTCAGGACAGTCCTCTCCAAGTAGTTTTATAAGCTGAAACCAGAATGATAAAAATGAGCCAGCCAGTCATGACGCTGAAATAAGAATGTCCTCAACAGGGAAACCATAGCAACCAGTAAAGAGCCCCTAAGCAACGATGAGCTTGATATGTCCAGGAAAGCAAACAGGCCAGAGTGACAGAGTGTGGCACGTAGCAAGCTGGATGGAGAGCAGTAAGAGCCAGGCCCAGGAGGGGAGGGCCAGCTTACATGCGCTTCTAGCTCCCTCAGAAAGCACTGGCCTTTTCTCCAAAGTGCCCTGGGAAGGCTCAGGAGAGTTTAAGCAGGGAAGCAACGTTAGCTAACACAGTGCCTGTCACTCTGGCTGCTATGTAGAGAGTGAATTATAGGGGCAAGAATTGAGGACAGAAGACCAGAGAGGAGGCCATTCCAAGAAGAGATGACTGTGGCTTGAGCCAGGTGGTAGCCCTGAATGTGGGAAAAAGTAGACAGATGGGAGATAAGATCTGTCAGTTCTGTGACTGACACAGTCTTACTGATGGATTGGCTGGGGTGGGTGTTAAAGGGAAAATAGAAATCAAGGATAATTCCTTGGTGCTGGGCTTGAGGAACTAGATAAATGACGGTGCCTTTGACTGAGATGGAGAACACTGGGGAGTCAAGGGGTCCGTCTGGCCAGTCCACGTCTGAGACGCCTGTTGGATGAGGTGCAAGCAGAAAGGTCAGCGAGGCAACTGGATATGTGATCAGTGGCTTAGGGAGTAAGTCAGAATGGGGCTATCGTTTTGGTTACAGATGGTATCTTGGGACATGGAGCCAGATGACTCACCTAGGGAGAGGGCAGACAGCGAGAAGAGGACTGAGCATAGAGCCTTAAAGGAGAAGGAACTTGAACCTCCCACCAGAGTTACAAGGATGCTCAGAAATACAGCAGGCTCTCCAGGCTTCCCTTCCATCTCCAACTGCCACTTAGGCTCTCTGAAGCAGCTGATCCACATAAAGGAGCCTCATGATTCAACATCAGCTGGTGAGCACTGTCTCTCCCTCTGCCCACCAGCCTGAAAACCAGCCTCCTGCCCCCATGTCACCAGGGGCTCCCTCTTGTTAACATATGCCCCCATCTTAAAATCTTTTCTCAGACTTTTCATATATATATTTTAGTTGCTTTCCAAGAAGCCCCATCTTTGCAATCAATAGTAGTAATATAAAAGAATCAGAAAATATTGATTTAAGACTATTTTAAATTATCTGAACGAAAACTTTATTTCATGTGCCTACTGCAACTTCTGAGTCTGAAAATGAAAGCAGTAACCAAACTCGCATACCCTGCCACAGGGAGTACAAATGGATATAATCTTTCTGGAGGGCAATTTGACAAAATTTTCCACACACATTTAGAATATAGAAAGTCACAACAGACTGTCACTGTCACCCTAACAATGAGAACATGCAGGATAAGCTTAAAATATATATACAGTTTTAAAAGCCATCAGAGATTTAAGGATGCAAAGAAACTAAATTCTAGAAAGGACAAGCCACTCCTCAGAGAGAAAAGACCCATAACTCCTTCTATCCCTACAGAGCAGTTAGAAAAATCAAATTCATTATAGTAAGGGTAAGAAGAAAACAACCCAATATTTAGTAGCCACATGTAGACTGGTAGATGGATTAGAATCCCAGAAGCCTTAGTCACAGAGCAAGGCTGGACCCTTCCTCTTGGGCCTTCCCCAGGTGCACATAAGCAGCACATCAAAGACTGGAGGTGGCAGGAGAGCTGTGCAATGCACCCCAAGGTACGTGTGGTTTTACACAAGTCCAGCTGCTTACCAAAGGCTGAGTACAGGGAAGAAGAACTGAGGCAAACCCTCTGAAGCATGTGAACGTCAGTAGCCTGCTTCAGGTTGGAGGCAGGGCCACAGGGTAGACGGAGGTCTCATGAGGAACACAAAGCCAAGGGAAGAGCTAGAGAACCAAGAGAACTCCCAAAGAAGCCCCCAAAATGGCAGGTGGGCTGCAAAGCAGAGAGAGATCCCCCCCGCAATATGCCAAGCTGGCAGCTAGGCTGTAAAACATAGAGATCTGTGGAGTCTCACCAGTGCTCAGATCTCAAGACCTGTTAATGCAAAGCATATGAAACTGGGGGTAACCTAAATATAAACAAAATTGCAACAAAGTCAAGACACAGCTCACCTTAAAGATTAAATTGGGTCAGCCCACCTCGCTAAAAGCCTGAAAGAGGCATTCCTTTTCTGAAGGTGAAAATTGTTTACTTCTTTCTCTACTGTTTTTTACACAAATATGTAGCATTAAATTTTTTAAAAATTGCAAAACAAGTGAAGAAGAAAAGGTGACCTAATCAAGAGTAAAAACAGTCATCAGAAAAAGACCCACAGAGAGAGCAAATGTAGAGATCATCAAATATTTAAATTAGAATGAGAAATATGTTAAAGATTAAAGGAAAAAGTTGGGAACATGCTGAACATATGAGGGATTTCAGTAGGGAAATGAAAACTATTGTTAAAGAGCACATGAAAAAGCTAGAAATTAAAAATATAATATCAGAAACGAAGGGGGGAGTGGATGATGGGAGGTTGCTCAGTGGGTACGATGTGCGTTGCTTCAGTGATGGATGCGCTGGAGGCCCCGACTTCACCACAGCGCAATATATCAATGGAGCAAAATTGCACCTGTACCCCATGAATATATACAAAAAAAGAATAAACAGGAAAAAAAGAAGGGAAGAATTCATTTGTTGTGCTTAGTAGCAGATTGTACATGGTAGGAAAAAGATCTAGTGAATATGAAGTCAGGTCAATAGGAATTATTGAAAAATTGAAACACAAAGATAAAAACATTTAAAAAGGAAAGAGGATGTGTACTATTAATTTGCTTATTTAATATATAAGTTATACAAGTATATATCTACCAATATGTGAGTATGCATGAAAAAGAGACCACCCTGTTGGTGACGCTCTCTGTGGAGGAAAGTGGTGCTGGGAAGCATATATATTTAATTTTTAAAAAGTAAAAAATACTTCAGTGCATTGAAAAACTACCATCAATAGAAATAAAAAGCAAATAACAAAGAAGAAAAATATCTTTGGCACATAAGGCAGATAAAGGATTAATATCTTTAATACAAAGAGAACTCATACTACTCACTAAAAAAGACCAACCTACGGTAGGTAAATAGGCAAAGGATATGAACAGGCAACTCACCAAATAAAAAAGGCATAAACCTGACAAACAGAGAATAAAAGTTAACCTTACTTTTTTGTTTGTTTGTTTGTTTTTGTGAGACAAGGTCTCACTCTGTTGCCCAGACTAGAGAGCAGTGGTATAATCATAGCTCACTGTAACCTCAAATTCCTGAGCTTAAGCAATCCTCCTGCCTCTCAGCCTCCCATGTAGCTGGGATTATAGGGATGAGTCAGCACGCCTGGCTAAGTTTTTAATTTTTTGTAGAGACAGGATCTTGCTATGTTGCTCAGGCTGGTCTCAAACTCCTGGGATCAAGCAATCCTCCTGCCTCAGCCTCCCAAAGTGCTGGGATTCCCGGCGTGAGCCATGGCACGTGGCTTACTACTGGCTTACTACATGGCACCAACCTTACTACTGAAGAAATGCAAATTGAATTTACAATGGACTGTTATTTTCACATATCAAATGGACAAGATCTTAAAAGATAATATTCTGTGCTAGAATACTTAGAAATGAGCACTTGTAAGTACTATTTGTGGGAATGTGCAGTACGGTGCTAGAACAACTAGACATCCATGCATAAAAAAATTAATCTACACATAGAACTTACACCCTTCACAAAAATTAGCTCAAAATGTAGCACAGTCTTTCTGATCCACAGAAAGAAAAACAAATGGATCAGAGACCTAAATGTAAAACTCAAAACCATAAAACTGATGGAAGATAACCTAGAAGAAAATCTAGATGACCTTGGGTTTAGCAATCACTTTTGAGGTACAACAAAGACGCAGTATTACAAAACTAAACATACTCTCACCATTAAATCCAGAAACTGCGCTCCTTGGCATTCACCCAAAAAAGTTGAAAACTTATGTCCACACAAAAACCCACAAGTAGATGTTTATAGAAGCTTTATTCAAAACTGCCAAAACTTGAGGCAACGAACATCTAGCAGGTGAATCAATAAATAAACTGGTACATCCACACAATGGAATAGTATTCAGCACTATAAAGAAACGAACAATTGAGCCATGAAGAGACAGGAGGTAACCTTAAATATATGTTATTAAATATGAGAAGCCAATCTAAAAAGGCTACCTACTATATGATTCCACCTGGAAAAGCCAAATCTATAGAGACAATAAAAAGATCAGTGGTTGCCAGGGGTAGGAGAAAGGGAAAGATGAGTAGGTAGAGCACAGTGAATTTTTAGGGCAGTGAAACTACTCTATACACTATAACGGTGATGTGTGCATTTTATATATTTTTCTAAACTCAGAATATGCACCAGGAGTGAACCATAACGTAAACTATGGACTTTGGGTAATAATAATATATCAATATTGGTTTATCAATTTTAACAAATT